ATGAGTACAAAGAACTGATTTCTCTGCACTCTGAGGGAAAAGAGAACAGCAGTTTTTGTGATAACAGAGAATTTAATAATGAACACAACCAACCATGCGCATGAGTTAATATCCAAATGAATTTTTACAGACTCTTTCATTCTTAATTTATTTTTATGATAATCTATGATAATAGAAGAACTAGCCTGAGTGCAGCCAGAATCCTTTTTTCCTTACAATGATATTTGTTCTAATGGGTGCGCTTGTTAAAATCAAACCATCCATTTATTTTAGGCCAACACAAATTGTAAAATATTAACCAGACTGTTCAAATTCATACTGTGTGTAAACTTGTCCATACTGTTTCCTGTGGTATCCTCCAGGTACAAACGCGCTACAACCCAAAACACTTCCATTAGGAGAAATGCGCTGCACTTTCAAAAACAATGCAAGTCTAAAAACACGAATACGCCAAAACCCATGCAAATGGAAGAAATATCTTCACCAACACCACATCACATGCTACGCATTTAAAAAACATTCACAAACGAAGGAACCTTGTAATCCCCTAATGTCAACAAGTGCTCAGGTTCCACTTTCTGTTGTGTTTTGAGCTTCTTGCGTTTTTTATTTTTACCGTTTGTGTTTGCAGCATTTGGTTTATGCATTACTTTGAGTAAACGCTGTGCATGTTTTGTCAACTTGGTGATTTTTTTCTAAATGCTGCGCGTGTGTTAATGTTTTGGCACATTTGTGTTTTTTATTTGCATCGTTTTTGAAACTGAAGCGCATTTCTCATAATGGAAATGTTTTGCAACGTTTTCCCTGTGTTCATCTAGCAACCTTTCCATTTAGCGTGTCTGTCATTTGTGAGACACTTGTTTTTCATGTGCTGGTCCATTTTGGGCTATTATGCTTCCATAACATGTCTCCTTTCAGACTAGTGGGAGAGAAGCACCTAAAATATACATTTCTGTGTTTATTTTCCTAACTTTGCATTTTTTTCTCCAAAATCAACCAAAAGTTAACATTAAATAATGTCTTGTATGCATATGTTTGTGACCAACTTGTTATCAAATGTTGATTGCCCATAGATTGTTTACAGATGTTATTGACAGTTCTGAAATGAGTATGTCATAAAAGGAAGATGTCCATTGATTTGGGTTTCCAATGTGTTATGAGGATTTTTTTTGTTTGCAGTTAAGCCAGCAAAAAGCCCCCTTTTCTGATTGTTTTATACATTTAGAGAAAAAACCTTCCTCAGCAATCAATGTTTGGGAGACATGGTATCTGAACTCCAATGATCTCAGATAATATTTCAATCACTTGTCTCCTGTTTAAATGCAGAGCATTCCAAAAACATGTGTACATTTGTACCAATAGTCATTGGTTGCACAGAAGGTATATTGGGCTTGGGAACATCGTCAGCTGACCGCATTTCCTGGTTGACAGATAATGTGTATAATGTTGTACTGTATCAATTGCTGATTGTAATTACGTGGTGTATTCTCTTCCAATCAATAACCTGAGTATAGCTTTTTGAAATATGTGTTCCATACTGCAGAGATGCCAATATATCCAAGTCATTTCTCTTGCTTCTTTTTCTTTACATTTCAAAGGTCCACTCCCACCATTTGAACTCAGTAAGACCTTAACCATTGGGTGTGTTGGCAGAGGATGATTCCAAGGTACTCAAAAGAAAGAAGAGCAGGCATGTTGTTTGTATATTTCAAATATTAGAAGGACATCAAGACGTTGCTGTTGGTTATATCAGAAAGATAATGTATATGTAAATACATGTTTAAACAAACAATTGCAGAAAACTAGAATGATCTTAAAGTAAGTAATCAACTGTATGGGGAAGTTTCATGTTTGTGTTAAATGTTCACCATAATCACCAGGAGTGTCTTTAAAGGCAGTTGCCGTAAAATAAGCTTTTTCTTCTTATACACATATCTCCATTTCAGCATATATAAAACATCTAAGTTTAATTAATATCTATGTTCTGAAGACTTTTACAAAGGGGTGTGTTTATATAGCTACCATTCATAGCCTCATTTGTGTATCATTTTATCAAAACAAATGGTGGTAAAAGGACCATTTCCTTTGGCTTTTTTATGATTTATGGACAAAAGAGAAATGCAAAATTCCCTCTGGAATGACCTTTGACTCTTAAATGTTGACAACATGAAAGGAGAATTTTTAACCTTGGTACAAAAATGTGCTGCACTTTCCAAAACGATGCAAATATGAAAACATTTATGGGCCAAAAAACATGCAAATGAAGAACATCTTCACCTACTTGGCAATGCTTGTGCATTATTTAGAAAACATTCACCAACTTCACGCAACATTTGCTTCGTTTTTCTGAAAGCGCTGCCTAAACGAATCGCTGCAAACACATAATGCTGCAAGAAGCTCAAAACACACTATAAAGTGATGCACACAGCTGGGACTGAGTGCTTGTTGACGTTCAGGGATTATAAAGTTGGCCAACGGTCACTGTTTCATAATTGTAAGTATTTTGTCAGTATATTTCAAATGAGTAGGTTACCTACAGTATGTTAGTTATCTAGCTTATCGCAGGTATGCAATGCTGTATCATGTGATCACATTTTTTAAATAACCCGTTGTTTTTCGAGCTTCTTTCGTGTGTTTTTGCACATTTGTGTTTTTATATTTGAAACGTTTTTTAAACTGCAGCACTTTCCTCCTAATGAAATTGTTTTGAGGCATTGTAACACATTTGACCCTGTTGGCCAGCGTAGATTTCTGTTCTTGAAATGTATGCAAACGAGCACATATTTATACATTCAAAAAACTAGTAGTAGGAAAAAAGAATTGCCTTGATGTAAGGGAATGGGGGTTTTATGATGATATAAATAGGCCTAAATTGCTACCTTGTTTACCTGTGTCTCCCCTTTATCTAGCACACATACAAGCCGTTTTTATATGGCAGCACAAAAGAGAGTAGATGCTAGAATTTTTCTCATTAACGCAGCAGTCAATCATGTGAGAAGTCATCGCTGTCAGTTTGCTGTCGGCTCTCCATACCAGGTGGTGCAGAGCATCTGCAGTGTTTCACAAGAGGTTAAATAAAACGCAAAAATAATTAGGAGCACTCAGAACATGTCAGACGGCAGACATGCTACCATTAGAGCGGAAACATAACTAAAACCGCTTAAGTGTTAAAAGCTGCAGAATATAGGCTAACCTACTCTAATCCTTCAGTTTTAAAAGTGGAAAGTAGTTAAAGACAAAGGGATTGATATTCTACTTTTGCCCTTGAGTGAGAGGATGAGGGAGGGAGAGAGACACAGAGGGGGGGTTGTCAATGTGTGTATGTGTGCAAGAGAGGGAGAGGGGGACGAGTGACAGAGAGATAATCTCTTTTGTATTTTTGATCCCTAAATGTGGTGGTTGTGTCCCCTTATCCCAGCTACTTAGTTTCTGCAGTGCGTAAGTGATGCCGTGCACTTAGGGCCGTGAAAAGCAGGTCAGTATGACCACTGAGAGAAAACCACATGTGCATCACATGGATAGCCTTGGGATTATTCCTCATAAAATGTCTTAATTCCTCTGTTCACTAATGATCCAGGGAAAATGCCCTCTAATCTCCATTCCATTAATTAAAAAGAGCATGAGCCCGTGGAAAACCTCACCATCTGCTGCGGCTTCATTCCAGCAGACAGATTGTGTTTTCAGCTTTTAACCAGGGGAAACTGGGTTTCTTTTTTTCAGAGCAAACGGTTGGAGCACGCATTGAGGTGGATGGTAAACAGATACTCCATTTGAGTATTTATGTGCTGAAATATGATGAAAAATCAGTTTTAAACATGAGCAATCCTTGCCAGGGCAGTGATGATGTCTGGGAGTTTGAGCTGCCTCCTGAGGACAATTTCACAATTTGAACGCTTCATACACGTGCTATACATAGAGTCAGTAACAGCCCTCTTAATACTTAATAGTCTTTTATTAGTACATTTAAAGTTACTGCTTCTATAATAAAATATGCACTTCTCTTTTTTTATAGGAAATGCTGCAATGCAGTCCCTGTGTTTTTCTAAAGGATTGCTATCATTCTCTTTTTCATTTAGCAGGACCTTTAAAGCTGCTTTAAGCTGCTGCATCCTCTCTGTTACTGATTTGATTAAGGTTCCACTGATATTACCATTTCCTCTAATAACATAAACCAATGTTAAAGGATGTTCACACCTTCCACAGAAACTAAAATTGAAAGGTTTCTAAAAAAGTCCTTTAATTACAAATCTCTAAAAGGACAGTTTATTACATGTCCTGTGCTGTAACAATAATACCTCAATTAGTGAAACATTTCAAATAAACTGATTCATTTAATTAAGTTGAATTAAAAGTGTCACTTTTTGAAATCAATTTAGTGAGTTCAAGTGAATAAGATTGTTTATATCCAAATATGAGTTGATTGAAAGGTTTTCAAAAAAATCCTTTTATCCCATAGGACAATTTATTAAGTGTTCTTTATCCTGTGCTAATGATACCTCAATTAGTGAAACATTTCAAATCAACTGATTAATTTAAACAACTTTAATTATAAGTCTAACTTTTGTTCATCAATTGAGAGAGTTAGAGTGAATATGATGTGTTTATGTCCGATTATGCTGAACCCCGGTTGAGAAATGATGAAACACTCCTGTAAGAAATTGAATCAAGTGCGTTTGACCCGCGGTCAGAGCCTAGAGACTGGGACATGGATTCGATCGGGCTAGTAGGCAGGAAAGATTATCCCAGCAGATGTTGGTTCCCTTCTATTGGAACAGTAGGGCCAATAATAAACACGCACACACACAGAGACACACGAAACGCGCACTAATCTGGGAGAGATAGGATAGCCCTTGCACGCCCCCCTTTCTCTCCTCTCTTTTCTCTCAGGCAGACAGTCGCTGTTCCACCAATGTCAAGTTTTTGCCAGACTCTATTTTGCACAATTCTGCCTGAATCATCCTGTAAGCAGTTCTTAGCGTGAGGTGCATTGTTTCATCCAGATGGACACACAAGGGGCAAAGAAAAGACTGTTTTGGAGATGGCATACAGTTTGCCTATTTACGTTGTGCACTTCTTTCTTGGATGCAGTCCGGGGACAGATTCGCTACTCCATCCCTGAGGAACTGGAGCATGGAGCTTTTGTTGGCAACATCGCAGAGGACCTGGGCTTGGATTTGGACAGGCTCTCTGCGCGCAGATTCCGGATAGTCTCCGGTTCCAAGAAGCAATATGTGGAGGTGAATTTGGAAAATGGAGTTTTATTCGTCAATGAGAGAATTGACCGCGAGGAACTATGCGAGCAGAGTTTGTCCTGTTCTTTCCACTTGCAGGTGGTCATTGAAACCCCCCTGGAGCTGTACAGGGTGGAGATGGAGATTTTGGACGTGAACGACAACTCCCCTAGTTTCCCATGGACCGAGTTTAATCTGGACATCTCAGAGTCTGCTACGCCAGGATCCCGTTTCCCACTTGAGAGCGCACAGGACTTAGACGTGGGATCCAACTCCCTGCGCACATATTTGCTGAGTGTCAACGAGCATTTCCTTTTGGATATACAGACGCGCAGTGATGGCAGCAAATTTGCAGAGCTCGTCCTGCAGAGCCCGCTGGACAGAGAGCAGCAAAGTGCGCATCAGATGGTCCTGACGGCGGTGGATGGAGGCGCGCCGGAGAGATCTGGCACTGCGCAAATTGATATCACCGTTTTGGATGCAAACGATAACGCGCCTGTGTTTGACCAGTCCTTTTACAGAGTGAGGCTGGCGGAAAACGCACCTAAAGGCACCGTAGTCATAAAACTCAACGCGTCAGATTTAGATGAGGGTCCCAACGCTGACATCACCTACTCGTTCAGTGGCCATGCGCCCATCAAGGTGCGCCAGCTCTTCAGCGTGGACTCGCGCACGGGGGAAATCAAAGTGAAAGGAGTGATAGACTATGAAAAGGCCAGGATGCATGAAATCTATGTTCAGGCTAAAGATAAAGGCCCCTCCGCTGTGGCAGTGCACTGTAAAGTGCTGGTGAACGTTTTGGATAAAAATGACAACCTCCCGGAAGTGATCTTGACATCAGTGTCCACACCTGTGCAGGAGGACGCCCCCCCGGGGACTGTGATAGCTGTCATCAGCGTGATGGATAAAGACTCAGGTGAAAACGGGAATGTGGACTGTGAGATCCCACATCACGTGCCATTCCAGCTCCACTCCTCCTTTAAGAACTACTACACATTAGTAACTTCTGATTTTCTGGACAGAGAGGCGATGGCTGAGTATAACATCACACTAACAGCGCGAGACATGGGCTCCCCTCCTTTATTCACCAGGAAAACTATCCTTGTCCAAGTGTCTGATATGAATGATAACGCGCCTCTCTTCAAACAGCCGTCCTACACTGTGTATCTGACTGAGAATAACGCGCCGGGTGCATCCATATGCTCGGTGACTGCACTGGATCCAGATTATGGCCAAAACGCGTACCTCTCCTACTCTATCCTGGAGGGAGACATACGGGGAATGCCCGTGTCCACCTACGTGTCCATCAACTCGGACAACGGGAACATTTACGCACTGCGATCCTTTGACCACGAACAACTTAAAAACTTTCAGATCACAATTCAAGCTCAGGACGCAGGGTTCCCGCCTCTGAGCAACAACGTGACAGTGAACATCTTTATACTGGACCAAAACGACAATGCACCTGTGATTGTGACACCGGTTGTGCAAAACAGCTCCGCGCCAACAGCAGCAGTGCCCAAGTCAGCTGACGCAGGTTACCTTGTCTCCAAAATCAGCGCCGTGGACGCAGACGAGGGTCAAAACTCGCGTCTCTTATACCAGATGCTCCAAGCAACAGACCCGAGCTTGTTCAGCGTGGCTCTGTACACAGGCGAGATCAGGACAATTCGCCAGTTGGTGGAGAAAGACCCCTCGAGGCACAGATTGGTCATTCTCGTGAAGGACAATGGTCAGCCGCCCCTCTCGGCCACTGTTTCCATCATCCTGTCAGTGGTTGACAGCCTGCCAGATTCGCAGCCCGATTTGGGTGACCTGTCACTAAGCCCGCATCACAGCCCTAACTTCAGCCTGTACTTAATCGTGTCTCTGGGCGCAATCTCCTTCACATTTCTGGTGGCTATCATCGTCCTGGTTTCAGTGCGCAGGCTGAAGGGCAGAGCGTCCAGCAGGGAGTCAAGCTTCCCCCCCATCAGCTGCTGCTGCTGCTGCTCCAGCTCAGAATCCTCCACCACGGAAGATGTGTTCAAAAAGTCCAATCTGAATGTTCGGATGCCCGCAGAAGCGTCCGGGTGCGCAGAGGCAAACGGCAACGGAGCTCTCCCTCAGGTCTACTGCTATAAAATGTGTCTGACTCCGGAGTCGTCCAAAAGTGACTTCATGTTCCTGAAGCCCTGCAGCCCGGTGATGACAGTTCAGCAGAATAACGCCAAGAGCACAGATTACCTCACCTCTGGCTGGAGCGCACTGGACCGTAATGAGCTGGCCAACAACAGAGCAGCGTCCCCAAACGAGGTAATAAACTGACATATACCGACGCGTAAAAATCCAAATAACAGAGGAGTTGATTCTCTTATCCTTCATTTTAATAAGTATACTTTTACCAAAACTGTATCCACTTACTCATCCTGTTGTCTTACATGAATTAGAAATGACAGAAAGGTTGAGTCAGGGGCAAATGTCAACATGCATTTGCCACTAGGGACGCTCTAAGCCAATCTTTTTTTAATTCAAATATATTTCAAAAATGGTTTTGTAAAAGGGGTGTTAAACTGTTAAACGCTATTTAATCCGTGAATATAAAATATATTAATTCAATTATATTAAACACTTCTTCAACCACAGTTTGTTAACATTCTGCATGTGATCCATTGGACAAAGTAGTTTCAACCAACACATTTTGAGACCATACACTGCAATCTGGGAAGGTTCCAACAGTGTCAATGTGTGTGTTGCAAACTAAAAAGGTGTTGCATGGGTAATGTAATTGCACATTTGTATCCCAGATCTGACTGCTGCTGTGTTTGTGCTCACCTCAGTGTAACCAACCACTAATATTTACCCTCACATTAAGCAGATTAGTAACCAAATCATGTTGCTATTTTTAGGAGATGTGGCACCTTCTCCCCTCATCGGGGATGTGAAGATGTAGTGTGATAGTCCAATTTGCTTAATGGTCTTATAAAAGAGGAAATTCAAGTTTTTCGAGTTATTTCACAAAAACATGAATTGAGAATTTCCTTCTACGGACTAAACGCATTTGCACCCAAATACTTTATTTATAATGGAATGGAAAATGCCACAACATTTGTTGTGATTGGTCTAAAGTCTTAAAACCTGGTTTGGACATACTTTGTATCCACAATAACACATTGATATATTTAGAAAAAAAAAAGTTCAATAGTCAAAGTCAGGAGTTTTAAAACATTGGAAAAACGCCAGTACTCTTTTCATCTAAAGACGCCAATGTTCTTTTCCATAAAATATAATGATTTATAAAGAAAAACTGAGATTGATTATTAAAAAGCCAGATTTTGGCTTGTGAACCCAGACAATAATTTCAGTCATGGGAATACTACATTCCATTTGCGGGCACAAATATGATAACTGTTATTAAAATTCAATATCTCTGATAATATTATCTTATCTATCTGACACTTTTACCTTGCCAATATATACATGACTGCATCTGGACAATAACGCAGTGCTCTTGTTCTTCTTGAGCTGATCACTAATTGTTGTTGTTTGTGTTCCAACTCTCCAGCTTAAGTATGCGAGTATTAGCAACGACTGGACCTTGACCAAGAACCAACGCAACTTGGCATACAAGAGGTGAATGCATTAGTCGAGCCAGTACACACGCACACACACATGCACACATGCACACGCCTGTACTTATACTTTCTTATTTTCTCCCAAGGTATAGTTCAGCAAATATGGAGGGCACTCTTACCCGTCAACAAAAATACGATGCCCATGGGTTTTCCTGTTCTGTGGCTCCACAGTATTGGACCTGGGGAAGCCATATGAATGGTAGGTGCAGTTTTGGCTCATTGTTATTCACAGGAAAGGGGGGGGGTGCTTCTCCCTGTGTCTGTTCCTGAGGATTTAGTCTGAAATATAAAATGGTAAACTGAATAGATAATACCAGGGGGGATTTAAATGCATCAACACGAGGATTACTTTTAAGAAGATTCCTTATTTTTTGCCAAAAAGACTGAAATTAAGAAGATGCCTTTTTTAAAACCACCTTATTTAAATTGAGTATGTAAATAGGAGCTCTTTGCAGAAATAATCTCCCGATACAAACTGTAATTTATGCGCATGTTTTACAGACTGCAAGATATCTCTTCAGGAGGGGACACTCCCTCACTACTCATGGACTCCGAAGTACACTCAGCCGAGTTCTGAAGCGGCAGACTACCAGCACAACGTATACATACCCGGCTCCACGTCCGACTACAGCACTCTGAAGCTGGCTCCCAGAGGAGAGCTGGATGTCTACAACACCTTCTCTACTTTTGGGAAGAAAAAGAGATTCATCTCAAACTATGAACAATCTTTTGACATCGATGATAGTCTCATCGTGAGTAATGACATCTTCAAATGAACTCTACTGTATTGTACAGTATGCACTTATGTGTATATATATAAATATATGCCATTTATTAGTTCCATTTCTAATTATAAATCTCTTCTCCAGTTGAACAGTTTCTCTGGAGGCCTGACAGACATGCGTCTCCTTTTTAAGTGGAATTTAATACCACATGTATATTTTTATTTTTGTAAATACTATAATAAAGTATAAATGAAGTATATTTCTAGTCATGTTGGGAACAAGGGATGACTTTATAAAGTCTAATCAAAAAAGCTTACAGTAAATTCAAAAAGGGTATATATCAATCACTTTTATAGACAACAACATACCTTTGTGTCTTGAAGGTACACACGCCATGTTTTAAAGGTTTATAGCCTTTTAAAGTAAACGTTTCTACTTAAAGCTATCACATTTAAGATGTGAGATTTAAATCGATAACTTTGCCAGTTTTCTTTTTCTTTTCATATATTTTGGTTGTATGATGAAGCAGTGCCACAGTTACAGCTGTATAGGTTCAACGTCTTGCATCCAATCATGCTGCATTTCGTTAGTGACGGGTCATTTGTTCACAGGTCTATTGAGTGTGAATGCAGCCCAGGCACAAGCGCTGCAAACAGATGGCAAAGGCAATGCGCAGTTATAAATAATTATAAGCACTCATTAATATTAAAAGGCATTGAACCAATAACCATTACCCATTATAAAGCATTGTAAAATGACTTAAAAGGTGAAGTAGCAGTATCGATGCTTTCTTTTGCTGGTCACTCACTGCCATTTTAGATGTCATTTATATATATATGTATATGTGTATATATATTTTAGTAAAGCAAACATCTATCTATCCACTTTTATGCAACTTTTCATCACATTATACTGTAATGCATTATAACGGTGTAAAAAATGAATTACAACTATCAGAATTATGATAGAAAACATAATAATTACATAAAAATGACACTTGACCATAATGGCGCATTTCCACTACAGCGCGGAGCACGGTTTAAGAGGGCTGTGACGTCAGCGGCCCGTCTTTGGTTGCGTTTCCACTTGGCCTAGTACCGGCCGGCGGGTCCTAATTCACAGTTTTTCTGGCCTCATAAAATCGCGGGTCTAGGGCCAGAGACAACGAGGCTGAGTCGGACTGAGTATGCTAAACTAGAGAGAGCATCGCTGGCAAGGGGGCTACAACTACAACAAGATGGACATATTTGACCGTGATTTAATTGTAATACACGTTTCAAAATGATGCCGAAGTAACAACATACTGATACCGGTTAGTAAAAACCATGAATTAATGCTTTGTCAAGTCTGCAGGCAGGCGGCAGGCGGAACACCTTTTAAAATGCGTGTGTTCTAAATGGAGATTGGCTAAGCTAACGCAGTATATGCTCCGACCGTCCACACTCACAACAACGGCCTATACAGACATAAATAAAGCAGCGACTGTATTCACCATGACACAGACAGTCTGTGGTTTGTACTTGTTTAACTTTTGTCTAGTTTCTGAACATATATGAGGAGCTGTGAGCTCTGAGTGCTAACAGCTAACGGCTGTGTTGTTTTTCTGGGGTTTCTCTGAAGATCACGTCACGGCTCCGCCTACACTGCGTTACTATAGATACTACCCCAGTTCCTAAACTGTAATGGAAATGCGCCATAAAGTGAGCCAGTCCTAACGAGGCCCAGCCATACCGAGCGGGGCCGAGCGAGGCCGTGTAGTGGAAACGCGCCATAAGTGTCTTAAGTGACCAAAAAACCTAAACTTAAAATGTGTTTGAAAGGGTTATTAATATTTATGAGTGCTTATAACCAAAAGTTCTAAATGTCTGAGCAGATTATAACAGGTATAAGTATATTGCATTAGACATGAGCGCCATAGAAAGGGTTAAAAGCGATACAGTAGAGAAGAGATCCAATGGCAAATGCATCTGATTCCAGAATAATGACATTGCTTGGATAAGTTGAGACATGTTATGTGTCCATTAACCATGTTTCATTGAAGGGTTTCTTTACAAGGAATTGCACCGCAGCTGTGATTTTACTCTGTTGGCCTGTACTGAAGACCCCTACGTTGACACCTCATCAGCACTAAGAATGGCAATAACAAGGGTATTGTGCTACTGCAAGTAACACACACCAAATGTCTGATGACACACAATTGCTTTTCAGTCACTGTTATATGCATCCAGATTTGTATTTATCATTTTGTGTGATGTGTGTATCTGCTAAGCATTACACAGTTATGCTTAGTAGGACAAATCACTCTGTATTTAGTCTATGTATATATTCATGTCAATAAATCTGACTTCAACTCTGTACTTTTTTCATGTTGCATTCCTTCCCTTGGCTTGGGGAACTTGAATGTCTTTATTTTTTTCTTGCCAAGGACCCCTAACTTGAAAAAAGACGGGTGAGGGACCTTGTACTACATTTGTGCAAAAATGAGTAGCATAATTAACTGCGCCAACAATTACGTGTGGTTGGCCTAAAGTGGCTAGTATAAACAAACTTTTTCTGGTGTATTCAATACTTTGTTATAACAATATAACAATACTATTAATAGCTACCTCATAGGTGCCGCACATTGATGGGAAACAGTAAGCCTATCAACGATGTTGCGTTAGTTTTTTTCTTTTTATGGAATAGGCTGATTTATTTTTGCAAAGTGTTGGACCCTGATTGCTGAAAAGTGCACATATAGATATATTTGAAATAAAATTTAAAAAACAACATTAAAACGTAATGAAACAATAACTTTCCTGCAGTAACTCTGAAGACCTCTGATTAGGCCCTTTTTCCCAAAATAAGACGATGTATCTGTGTCTCCTTGATTCATTATTTCTTTTTATTTGATACATCCAACATGTATGTTACACATGATAAGTTTGTATAACAGGTTTATAGGGTTCCTTTTGCTTTGCCTGGATGTTTGTGTGGATCAGTCTCAGCTGCTTAATCAAGTGAAGTGCCAACAGGAGTGTCTCATTAAGTCTTTAGCAGGGAGGGGCTGGGCTCTGTCAACATGAAGAGAAAAAGGTGACAATTCTGCAGTTAATGACTTATAATATTATTATATATTATAAATGTGCTCATTGGTAGGTTGGCTGACATAGTTGGCAGCTTAGAGATCTTGTATTCATTGTATGTTATACTGTGTGATTTGGGTTTTGCTTTTTATTAAGCCATCCCTATACTTACCTGGGCAGTTGGTATGTTCCAGTTAAAGGTCCCATGTCATGGCCATTTCTACTGATCATAATTCCATTGTTGAGGTATACTAAAATAGATTTACATTGTGCAATTTTCCAAACTCACATTGGTTTCTCATACAGCATCTCTGTATAGTATGTGTATTCACTCTCTGTCCTACATGGCTTGTTGGAGCTCCTGCCCCCCCCCCCCTCCTCCCTGTGAGCCTACTGTGCTCTGATTGGTCAGCTCGCCCACTCTGTTCTGATGAGTCCACCACCGTTACAGCGGAACATCAGTGATTATGTGTTACAATGGCGTTAGCAACCAGAAAATGACACCAGAATTGACAAACAGATGAGAATGCTGCGTGGGGTCTGGGTGCCGTGTTGGCGGGACGCGGCTCACTGCAGTGAGGAGCGGACAGTGTGAGCTGGGTTCATTTCCTGCTTGCGGCGTGGGGTCTGTGAGACAGCGAGACATCGCGAATGGACGCGGGAAGTGGGGGGTGCTGAGGGAGCTGTAGCACCCCCATCTGCGAGGCTCCACTAGCAACCCCCCCCCCCCCCCCCCAGCGCGTCACAGTTTCGCCGCTGAGAGAGTGTGTGTGTGTGAGGAGCTCCACGGATTGGTCCATTTGGGTATGGTCACGTCACTATACCCAGGTAGACATAGAAATCTCCAACGAGGCGTTCTGGGGCAGCATAGACAGATCTTTTCTGTGTTAGAGTTGTACTCGCTACAGGGTGTACTTTGAGGGTTTGTGACTTTGCAGACCGTTTACATGCAGAAAAACCTTCATAACACACAAGGGGACAGGTAATAACCGGAAAAGCATGACATGGGACCTTTAAGTGAAGCCAAGGACGTAAAATACCTTCTCTTCTATTCCCGGTTGTCAGTTTTGCCCTTTTTTTCTTAAAATAAATGACACTTTTTTGCACAAGCCCTGCTTATCAAACTGATTTTTCAATATCCTTTTGTTAAAGTTTTTCAGTGCTGTACCACCTTATTCCCCCTTTATATAGCAGAGTCATACTTTTATTCCTATCAAATGACATGCTAAACCGTTGCATTCATGTGGTTCTGAAATAACTGCTAAATGAACCTAGTAGTAATTGCAATCTGAATCAATCAATCAATCAAAAATAAAGCAATTCAAGTTGCAGACATGAAGGATTTTCCTCAGTCCCCCTCAAAAGCTGAATTCAGGATTTTTCTGTGTAAATTACATGAAACACCAACTATAGAAGTGTGGAATGAAATGTGTCAAGAGCACGATTAGCTAGTGGTCTTCAAAGGGGCCTTAAGAATAAAAGCTCATTTTGCCTGCACCGGCCTTGCATGTTGCCTCTGAACAATGCCTTTAACAATTCCGTCATTTTGTGCCTATATGCTGACATTAAGATTTGTGCCCAGAGAGGACAGTTGTGTGAACCATGGAGTCATATTTCTTGTAAAACAAACTGTCAACCCCACTGGAAAATTGAAACAATTTTTTCCAAAGTTTCCTGCCGAGATGCAGTCAGGTGTGGTGATCCCAGCCAGTCCCACTAAATCTAGAAGGTGAAGGCAAGAAATCAGGCTTAGTCCGGAGGATTGGAAGAAGTAGGAGCAGCTTTTGAACGTTGTGTCATTTAACCTTTTCTCTTGACATTTTGGTCAGTTAACCTGGGGTTTCAACTACTACTCTGGAGATAATACCTAAAGATCCATGGGCTCTCACTGAGCTAATGCAGACCTGGGGGTTAATCCTAGGCCGGCCCTCACTGCCTGAGCAGAGCTGCTCCAACTGCTTCTAAAAGCTGGGTGCAAAAGGCCAG